ACTTTTTTTATTTGCACTAACAAACAATTTTGAGGACAAGCTTTCGGGGAGTGTCCCCTTCTTCAAGGTCCAAGCAGTACTAATCATAGTACTGCTTGGACCTTGAAGAAGGGGACATTCCCCGAAAGCTTGTCCTCAAAATTGTAAGTTAGTGCAAATAAAAAAAGTATCACGGACAGTACTCAATTGTTTCAACTCAGATGAGAAATTCTCAACCTCTCACAGTTATTAACCCCTTCACCTGTAGGATATGCTTTTGCATGAGCACCAGTAACCACTGAGCCAAAGGCAAATCCTGGGCTTGTTAATATATAAGTGCTATATTGGCTGAAGGATAAAGCAGAGTCAAATAAATAAATAAAACAAGACACAGCGTACGTGTTACAGGATCATTCACTGAAATTATCATAAGTATGTGTGTGGGAGTGTAACCTAACTCACATTCCTCTCTTCATTATATCTCATTTAACCAGCATTAATAGATTATGGTACCATGATCAATAAAAAAGGCAAACTTACTGGGTCCACACATGGCTTTTGTTGATGTCTTCTCACAGTTTTCTCTTCAGATCCATGTCCCTTGTTTCTAAATTTCTCTCGGCAGGATCCACCATGGGCGGCTCCAAATTCCAACCAGTCAAACTGGTTTGTAGGCTCCACCTGGATTCTGGCTTTTTATTTATCAGCACAGCAGGATGTCTCTGGGTTATCAGTAGTATTCAAAGTGACAATACAACCATTACAATTAGAATGAAATAGGCCAAAGGGAGGCAAAAAGCACTCTTCTGTGAAATGGAATAAAGTGAAAATGTTTTGTCCTCATTATGGCCTCCTTTACACTGGCTAATGTAATAGGCATTTAGGGCACGCTTTTGCTATTTCCCAAATAAGTAACAAACGCAGCTCACAATGTAGAAATGGACAGCGAACAGAACTGTTCACATTTAAAAATTGTTTAGTGTTTGCATTGCTTCATTTCAGTGTACTACAAACACAACGCTAATTGTGATGTCTGGGAAGTGTTTGTTTCCATTCTAATGTATGGTAATGCGCTGTGAACCCACCTGTAGTGGACTTCTCCAGAGCTTCCCCCATCCTCTGGAACTCTCTACCCCAATTTATCAGACTATCGCCTACTCTGCTCACTTTTCGGCGATCTCTGAAAACCTCTTCAGGGAAGCCTATCCTGCCCTCAGCTAATAATGGAATCTTCTACTCTTCCTACCAGTCCATCACCCACAGTTTCTACCTTTTGTACCAGTAGCCCCTCCCTCCTAGATTGTAAGCTCGGAGGAGCAGGGCCCTCCTATCCCTCTAGTATTGAACTGTATTGTTACTGCATTGTCTCCCGTTATATTGTAAAGCGCTGAGCAAACTGTTGGAGCTATATAAATCTTCTATAATAATTATAGTGTTTATGGCACACTTACAGCACATCTATTTATCGACTTGTGGACTGCCCATCTGTAATGTACTGCGGATGGGCAACTGCTCTGGGGAAAGCAAGGTACCCGTAAGTCACCTGATACTTCAGGGTACGCATGGGCGTGTGCGTCTCCCCACTGTCATTCGTTACAGGAATAGTTCATCAGCGGGTCCTGGCCAATGATTTTTGTCCAGGACCCTGCTGATCTCCTGCAATGAATGAAGAAGCAGTCCTGTACCTGTATTTGTAAATAAGCACAGGATCTAGCTGGTTTTTCTCTCCCTGGATTTCACACTTTTTACCCACACACCCACACTTAACCCTTTGATCACCCCTTTCACCCAGCCAGTGCCATTAATACAGTGTCAGTGTACATTATTTTTCACTGATCACTGTATTACTTCCGCTAGCGACATCAGATAGCGTCAGGTAGTGTCAGGGTCAGTCAGCTAGCGTTAGAATGTCTGCACACTACTACACTCATGGTATAGGTCACTGATCAGGGCCATTGCTAGTATAGTAAGAAGAGCTGAAATTGAAGCGCCACACCACTGTTAAAAGGTCCAGATACAAATCCATTACAAGTCAGGGGTATAATCTGAGAAGTATCCAATGCGTTTCGTCAGTCCAATTGCCCCCTTCAACAAGGCTTGACTGGCAATAAAGTGAACAGACCAGAAGTGAACTGGACCTACAGTGGTATTTATTTCAGTGTGAATTAAAAGCAAAGGCCTAATCAGCAGCTTGTTTGGCAGCCTGCAAACTTTAACAAACAATTGGGTATTATATTATGTTTTTGTGCATTCAAATTCAAAAAAGAGTATTTTTTCCAAACAAATTGTGTTTGAAAAACTACTGCGCAAATACAGTGTGAGATAAAACTAATTGCAACACCCACCATTTTATTCCCAAGGGCCTCTGCTTTGAAAAAATATATCATGTGTGGGGGTTCAAAATAATTTTCTAGCCAAAAATACAGAATTATTTCATGCAAACAAAAAGTGTTAGAAAAGGCTTGGTCTTCAAGTGATTAGAAGAGTGAGTGATGTGTAGCAGAAGCTTCTGAAGTTGGGTATAAAATGCCAGGACAGTTTAAACACCCCCAAATTACTCCTTTTTGGAAAGGAGACACCCCAAGGTATTTGATAAGAGGCATGTTGAGTTCAAGGAAGATTTTATTTTTATGCCACAAGTTCTTGGAAAATGTGAAATTACACTCCAAAATGCATTTTGCTACTTCTCCCGAGAATGGGAATACCACATGTGAGAGACTTTTGGAGAGCCTATGCACTTACGGTGGCCAAAAACCAATGACCAGCATCAAGCTATCAAAGGCCATAATTTTCTCATGTTGCTTCCTCACTATCTATCACAGTTTTGGAGACCTTGAAATGCCAGAATAGTACAATCACCCCCCCCCTTCCCCAAATGACCCTGTTTTGGAAAGTAGACACCCCAAGGTATTTGCTGGGAGCCATGTTGAGTTCGTGGAAGATTTTATTTTTTGCCACAAGTTTTTGGAAAGTGAGAAAATTATTTTCTTTACACAAAAAATCAGTAAATTTTCTAATCTCCAGAATTATAGATCTGGCTTTTCATGGATCGTTTTATAATGTTGTTCAGGCTTATTATACAAAGTATGGGCAGCTTGACAGAAAGAATAAACAAGCATCTTGCATATGTTTTCAACCTATGTGGTACAACTTTCTTTGCAAAAGAAAATTAAAGAAGATGTTGTTTTCAGGATAATAAAGCTTTGTGTACATAAGTGATTTGATTATTCCTTAATTTTGCCAGTTTCTAGAATCTTATTTATAGTTGTACATCACATTTTTTGCACATTCATAAAAAGAAAAAGTATGGTGTCTTTTCAGTAAGCACACGAGTCATTATTGCAAGTTTTTACCTTAAAATTATTTTTGATTTTACTATTTTGGATATGGGGGCTGTATTAGTCTAGGTTTACACTATGAAGCACATTCCTGTTCACATGCGATTCAGTGCATTGTGATTTGAGCTCATTCATTTTAAATGGGCTCCAACAGCACTGCATCACACCAAAAGTAGTGCATGCACTACTTTTGGAAATGCACCGTAACTGGATCACACAGTACAAAACTATTGCGTTTGCGACCTGCATTTGGGGTCTCCTTAACTTTGCACTGACACCCGCTGCAGTTCACAAGGGCAGTGCATTTTGAATGTGGTGTGGGAAACGCAAACGGATTGCGTTCTAGATGCTTAGTTTTATATTTTTTTTGCTTTTTTTTTCCCCCTCTGTTTTCACCTGGCAATCAAGCCAGTAACACACCTCCTGTTTTAGAGTACCCCCACAGCGGACAGTGGCATTGTCAGTCTGGGTGGAGGGCAGTGTTAGATGTACTAGCTGTTCTGTCTCTCCAATCTAAGCATTGACAGTGTGATCTCTGTAACTTACAGTTGTGATGAGATAGCGATAACTCCAATCTTAGTTGACTAACACAGGCAGTGACTCGATCCAGACAACACCTTGTAGATCTTGTGAAGTTTATTCCATAAACTGAGAGAATCTTACAGCAATGAACATCAGATAGGGCAAAAGATCATAATGTGATCTGCTTCATAACGTGAGCCTTGAAGCTGAAATGCATTACTGGGAAAAAGGGTGGGCTATCTATACAGCATGAGCTAAACCAAAGGAAAGGGAGGAGCAGAGACAAAATACAAAGAACACTTAAACGCATATGACAGTCATGTGAAACATGACACTAGCAGACTAAATACACTAATAAATTGTAGCTAAACTCCAGCTAATACTTTTTAAGCAGTTACAGCAAATGTTTTTTTTTTCCTTATGGGATAAAAGTTTTACATAAATAAAAGCTGATCATTGTAAGCACCACTGTCAGTAGTAAATGGTTTGTCTTATCTCTGTAACTGATACATTCTGCTGGAGAGCTGTTCTCTTGATATCTGTAGCACTACTCCCATAGGAGCTGCTGGAATAGTGTCCAGGTCCTACCCCAGATACCTTGCCCCGCAGCCAGGTACATAGGCCCATTCATTAGTTTCCCTAATAATCAATCTAGGGGTGTTATTTTTATTTTTCCTCAATAAGGATGGGGATGAGTGGGATACTCCATATTAGGAACAATGTACATTGATGACTTTTAGAGATGAGCGAATTATTCAAAAATTCGGTTCGGCTGATTCGCCGAATTCGCGGAAAAAAAATTTGCTTCGAGCCGAATATATTCGCTGCGAATTTAACTTATAAAAAGGGTGTTTCTAGGCTTCAGAGAGCCTTTATATTAGTGCAGAACACTGTACCTTTAATTTAAATGCCCTTGGAGTCTGCTGGGGAAGAGAAATAATACTGTCAGTCAGTATGACATGCAGATGAGTGCCGTCGATCTTAGAATCACCGCACACTTCACTCATTTGGGCAGTCACGGGGCCAAAACCAGAGTGTGGAGCCACAGTGTGGCGGTGGAGGCAGCAGCAATGGGAGGCCATACAGCACCCTATGACAAAATGGAACCCACCAGCAGTGTGAGGAGACCTGAAAGTGGCACATGGCAGAGTGTGGCAATGGAGACAGCAGCAATGGGAGGCCATACAGGGACCCATTACACACTCTGGACCTGGCAGCAGCATGAGGAGGCGGTACAGGGGCCCATGACAGATTACGGGCCTGGCAGCAGCATGAGGAGTCGGTACGGGGGCCCATGGCAGATTACGGGCCTGGCAGCAGCATGAGGAGGCGGTACAGGGGCCTATGGCAGAGTGGCGGAGCGTAAGCAGCTAAAATTGAAGGCCATACAGAGGCCTATGTTAAAAAGTCCCCCCAGCAGCAGCGTGGGGAGACGACTATCAAGAGTCCAATGGCAGAGTGGCGGAGCAGAAGCAGATTCAATTGAAGGCCATACACAGGCCTAGGTTAAAAAAGGGAGCGGAAGCCGTCAGCAGCGTGAGCAGACGACAGAGACACATGGCGCAGTAAAAGGTGGCGGTGGATGCAGCAGTATTCGGAAGCCAAACACAGGCCTCGGTTAAAAAGCGGAAGCCGTCAGCAGCGTGAGCAGACGACAGAGGCACATGGCGCAGGGTGGCGGTGGAGGCAGCAGTATTCGGAAGCCATATACAGGCCTAGGGGTTTTAAAAAGCGGAAGCC